GACCTTTAACATAAGAGACATCGTCAATGATTATCTGGTTCTTGATCAGCTTCCCTCTTCCTTTTGTTTGACCTTCCTTGTCATTTCCTCCAAAAGTGACTCGGGGTCCATTGTATTTCTGAAACTCTGACAGGCAACTCTTGTCACCTGTCATGTGTCTGGAGCATCCGCTATCGATAAACCATTGTTGTTCTGAGATAGCTCCAGCACACAGTTCCTGCAAAATTAAAAAGAAGATTTAGGTACCCAAGCAGTGTTGGGTCCTGGGGGGTAATGGAGTCTTGGTAGTTGGTACCATTTTGGTCTCATCAACTGAAACCTTGGTGGATGGTACCCATTGTCCACCTGGTAGTCGTAGTAAACAGATGTATGATTCACTTTGGGCAGATGCTTGTGAGGATCATGCTTTCTGTTTGCATACTTCTGCATAGCCTTCTTAGTTGGGAAGAAATCCCATATATTATCAAGAGCAGAGGAACGCTTAACCTTGGGCTTCTGAGGTTGACCAGAAGACCTCTTTTGCTTAAAGTTAAATGTCTCTTGATATCTGCCTTTTTGATAGTGGTTTCTGTTACGATTATCATGAGAAGGTCTGTTAGTTATTTGCCTTTGATTAATACTTTTCTGAAACCCATTTAGGTTGTTAAATCTTCTGCCAGATTCATCAGTTTTTAAAATTTGTTTGGGTTTGGTCTTTAGTATTTGGTTCTCTGGTGGGACTTTCTCATGAGTAACTTTAGTACCAGAAGTACTAGCATGACAGATAGGTTTAGAAGTCTGTGGCACTATGACCTTATCAGTCATAGCAACTTGAATGCTAGACTTTACAGAAGGCTCACCAGACTTGTGTTCAACATATCCAAGACCAAAGGTGAGATTATGAGTATCATCAATACTCTTTATTGAAGATTGCATCTTCAAAAGACTATCATATCTGATTTCGAGGCTCTCAATTTCTCTTATTCTTTTTAGAAGAGACTCATTTTCAACTTTCAGTTTACTGTTCTCCTCTTTAATCAAAGAGTAAGTGTCTTGGATAGTTTTGAACTCTTCCCAAAATGATGACATTGGATCATCATTTAAGGCTGTGCCTACCGAAGAGGAAATAGAGTCAGCAGTAGAATATACCTCATCATCAGATTGAGCCATGAGGCATAGATCTTCTGTGTCTGTATCAAGGCAACAGAAGGCTTCATCTGAGTCTGAATCTGAGCTGGATTCTGTCTCAGAGAGGGGATCTTTCTCGACTTGTTCTGAGATGAAGGCTTTCCTTCTTCGGTTTTGATCTTCATACTTTCTTTCTTCATCTTGTCCTTGCTTCTTGGACACTCTTGGATGGGGGCAGTTGGCCTTGAAGTGTCCAGGCTGTCTGCAATTGTAACAGAGTAGCTCTCCACTGCTTTCAGAGGGCTTAGTCTTCTGAAATGGTCTTCTGCTTGAGGATGGGCTTCTTCCATCCTTCTTCATGAACTTCTTGAACTTCCTAGCAAAGGCAGCCATATATTCATCAGATAAAAGGGTAGAAGGGTCAAAGTCCTTTACCTTGGATGTGCTGGCTGTGAGGGCTGTGGTGGTCCTCTCATCATGAACTTCTTCCTTCTCATCATGCATCTCAAACTCATAAGCTTTGAGATCAGAGATCAGCTTTTCTGTTGGGTAGGTTTTGATGTCCTTGCTCTCTTGGACAGCAATAACCTTCATCTTCCAGACTGGGGGCAGTCCTCTGAGAATCTTCAGATTTACTTCTTTAATAGTGAGTTCCTTTCCAAGCTCAGAGATTTCACTTGTAAGGATCAGCAGTCTGGCATGCATCTCAGCTATGCATTCATCAGGCAGAAGTTTGAAGTCATCAAACTTCTTCATGGCTATGGTCAGTTTGTTGTCTCTCTCCTGCTCATCTCCAGCACCAATGAGATCAAGTTTGTCTCATATCTCCTTGGCAGTTTTACACTTCTTTATTCTGTTGAAGTATCTATTGTCTATAGCCTTGTAGAGAATATCCTTGGCTATGTTGTCCAAGTTATACTGTCTCCTCTCTTCCTTGGTCCATTCAGACCTGGCCTTTTCAATCATCTCAGGCTGTGTTTTATCAGCAGCATATGCAGTGTTTATCTTCATGAATTTGGTGAAGGGTCCCTCTTCAAGGACTTCCCACATTTCATCATGGAGGGCACAGAGATGGGCTTTCATCCGAATCTTCCAGTCATCATACTTTTGATCTGAAAACATGAGATGCTTTGCAAGAGAGTTATCCATAATAGGTTTTAAAGGAGGCTAAGAACAAGTGGATCTTTGTTCAAGGAGTAACCTAATAGATTACAAGAACAAGGAGGCTCTGATACCACTTGTTGGTCCCGGTTAATCTGGTAACAGTCTAGAGGGGGGGGGGTGAATAGACTGTTATGGTTTTTAACTTTTTCCAGTCAAGTACCAAGGTAAACAGAATAGTCTGTTCTGTTGAGAACAGACTGGCAGCGGAGATCTTCTGGTAAGTGTTCTGTCGGGATAGCCTCACAGAAGAGTAAAGGCACTTGGCCTTCTGGTAACTCACTAGAGGTGTTCTGCTGAACACAGATACCACTTCTTTGGAGTTAATCAGTTTGCAAGAAATAAAAGCTGTAAGTAAATAACACCAGGGATTTTTATAGTGGTTCAAGGAACAACTCGTTCCTCTAGTCCACTGTTCCACTAAGCTTGTAAAGCAACGGTTACAACGCCTTAGTCCCTAGAACTTAAGAAGCTCTCCACGTCTTCTTCAAGTCTAGATGTCTCCTGGGATGCACTTCCTTGCTTCCTTTAAGACTGGTCTTGTTTCACTGAGTCTCCTTGAAGTATCTCCACTTCACTACTCGAGCTACTTTAAGACGTCCTTCTTTGCAGAAGATGTTCTGTTGAAAACAGAGTTTTCTCCAACTTGCTTCGTCACAAAAGATTTGTAATAAGGTGCTTGAAGAGTTGAAGAACAGTAGGAACTTTGCCCTTGTTGGTGATGAAGAGTATATGAAATTATGATCTTCCCAACGTAGGCCTTTCTTGTTGATGAAGTTGGAGTGTTGAATCTCAAGAAGGCTTTTTGTAAATAGAGCACAAGTTGTGGCAAAAGTTACTTGGTTGTTCTTCGAGTAGTATCTTTTATACTGAGGTTGTCTTCCCGTTGGAGGAGGAGACAACTACATTAAATGCGCATACAGTTTGAGTTGACCGGCTGGGCCCGCAAGTTTGGCGGCTTGCTATTTTGGGATAGGCTTTCCAGGAATCTCGGTCAATCATCAGCTTTTACTTTTTGGAGCATGGAGCTCATTAACTGAGCATTAAATGCAGTCCTGTAGCATTTCCGTTGAGTGTGAGCTAGCCGTTGAGGGAATCTTCCGTTGAAGTATTTGTCAAAAACTTCTAAGTGTCTGATCTTCTGCTGGTTTACAGAGGGTCTCGAGCTCTTCTGACTAGAGAAGGTCCAACAGAATACCATAGGTACTTCTGAGGAGTAGAAGACCAACAGCGATTCTGTTAGGTAGAACTTCAACAGAGGTTCTCGAGGTCTTCTGACAGTTGACTATTCTAAAATGTACTTACAAGGAGAAAAATCTAATACATCATAGCTAATGGGGGTACTCTAATGTTCTAATCTGTTTAGCATCATCAAAATCTAAATACAATTATTCCTTACATAAATTAATACAATTTCAATTTTCTCCCTGCTTAAGCACTAACGATTGATTAAAAACCTAATTATTTTAAGTTGATTTATAATGAGTTTACCGGCCACGTGTGAATTATTCAAATGAATTTTTTGTCATACTACAACAAATACAATGTGTTTAAAATAAACATGAATGGATGCAAGTGTATAAAGAAAGAACAAACTTCAACAAAGTTGGCAATTCTAGAATTGAGAATTATTATTTTTGTTAATATCATTCTTAATTGGCTAAAGGGTCAAATAGGCACTTGAACTGACTTAAAGTGTTCAATTAGCCCCTTATATAGGAGGTTCTGCCCGGCCGTCGTCAATTAGGGCGGTTCCCAGTGGAATGTTTTGATGAAATTTTTTGAGCATCTTCTTCATTAAGTCTAGTTTACTCATACCAAATTTCAGCTAAAAATTCAACCGTAAAGGCATTCAAATAATTTTTTGAAGATAACTGCGAAGTTAAACAACGCAGTACATTTCGGAAAATCATTTGACTACCTTTCCGGTTGGATTGTTAGCTGAAATTTGGTATGAGTAAACTAGACTTAATGAAAAAGATGCTCAAAAAATTTCATCAAAAAATCCATCGGGAACCGCCCCAATTAGTGACGACCGAGCAGAACCTGCTATATAAGGGGCTAATTGAACACTTTAAGTAAGTTCAAGGGCCTATTTGACCCTTTAGCCTTCTTAATTCTTAAAAAGCAGGAGAACACACTGCATTGATATTATCATAATGTCAATATGTTTAGTGAATTTCAATGATATTACTTCCTCCGTTCTTTAATACTTGTCCTTATAGGATTTATTGACACAAAGTTTTAAGAGGAAAATAATAGGGGTAATGTAAAATGTGTAGTGAATTGTGTTTAAATGAAAAAGTAGGAAAGATAATGAAAAAATATGAAAGAAAATGAGGATACATGAATATATTTATTGAAAAAACTTTCTAAAAAGGGAAATAAAGACAACTATTAAAGAACAACCCAAAATGAAAAGAGAGACAAATGTTGAAGAACTAATGAAATATGTAAAAGTGCAATTTTATAATTTTTGATCATAGACTTATTGATAGAGTAAGATCTATTGACAATTCCAGACTATTTGGCACTTGATATTCAATAATAATAATAATCAGTAGTAGAATTAAATTGATAGAAATTGTTTCGATGATTTTATTTCAAATAAGAAAAGATGATTTTATTTCGAAACTTTCTAAAAAGAAAACGAGTAAGTTATTTAAAGGACAAATGAATGAAATAGGTATAAACTTTTTTAATACGGAGTAATATAATGAAATCCAATTTGGATCCGTTCCCAAATTCCCACACCATTATTCCGCAACCACCCGAATTTTGGTTAATTGTAAACCCAATCAATTATACCGGCATACAGATCAAACCTGACCCACCCAATTCCAATCTCAAATCGGGTATTTGCCGATTCACATTCCCTTGCGTTCCAAATCCAAACCCTACCCTGATGTTTCTCGGTTCGGACGATCCGATCTCCGCCAAACGTCTCCGGAGCTCCGACAAAGACATACCGTCAGCTCAAGGTCCGACAATTTCATAATTCTCTTAGAAAAGAACTCCGGTTTTAACCTTTTTTTGCTGGAAATTAACCCAACGCTGAATTGCTAAAAAGAAAAGATAGTAGCTGTTGAATCTCTAATTTTATTCAAAGGTGACTTTAATCATTGCTCGTTTATGAAATCTGTAGCTGGATTTTAATTTTTATTGTATTTTTATTTTAGTTATGCACATGCATGCAAGTATGGTTACATTTAAGTACATCTTGACTGCAGATATCATATTTGAACTAGTGCCATGTGAGTTTTAGGTATAAGACTTGGTTTTGATTCAGGGGTTTATTTATCTGCTTGGCTTGTCCACATTTCTGTAATCTGTAGACAAGTAGATGTTAGTATTTCATCATCAAACATTGAAGTATATGGAGTATAAGAGCATCTCCAATCAGGGCAGATCCTAGCTAAATATAGGCTGAAATCAAGTTATCTAAAAACTCTAGATACAGTAATTTTTATAGTGTACTTTATTTTGAAATGAAGTACATATTAATAAATATCTCAGATGTAACTAAAGTTGGACCCAAGTTGATCTTTATAAAAAATCTCATATATTTTGTTGTAATATGGTTTGTTTTAAAGTAACATAACAAAAGTAGCAAATTGGATAATATCCCAAGTTTAAAAAAATAATATATACATATATGCATTATTATTTATTTTAATTGCGGAAGAACAAATCTGATGTCCGAAAGCACATTAGATGAGATGAGAAGGGTTCAATTTAATTAAAACTACCCAAAGATAAAAGTAAATTATATTATAGATATATCTTCCCTGTAATATGTAAGTACAATCCCATAATGTCAGGGAAGATGCTCTAATCTTGGTCACATAACCCATTCACATGGTTGTTTATGAATAATTATGTATTTATACACACATGCAAATACTATTTTCAAAATCATCACAATATGCTTTATTTTTCGTATTTATTTCTTGTGTGATATCGTTGATTCTCCGTACTAAAAACAAGGTTATGATACTCTGTGTACTTCCTCATCAAAGACAGATTGGATTAAGTAGCATCAGTTCCACGTTATGGAAATTTCAAGTGAGGCCCCAGTTAAGAGACCAAAGCGGTTGACATCTGTTGTATGGAATCACTTTGAAAGAATTAGAAAGGGAGAAATTTGTTATGCTGTTTGTGTTCACTGCAAAAAGAAACTTAGTGGGTCAAGTAACAGTGGGACAACGCACTTGAGAAACCATCTGATAAGATGTCTCAAGAGGTCCAATTATGATGTTTCACAGATACTTTCAGCAAAAAGAAAGAGAAAGGAGACTACCCTTTCTATCGCAAGTGTCACCTATGAAGAAGGGCAAAGAAAAGATGAAACCATTGCCCCCATGAGCTACAAATTTGATCAAGAGCCAAAGAAGGAAGAAAATATTATCCCTTTCAACATGGGGAGTGTTAAGTTTGACCAAGAACGAAGTAGACTTGATTTCACCCGCATGGTTATGTTACATGGCTATCCATTGGCCATGGTTGATCACGTAGGTTTCAAAATTTTTGTGAAGAACTTGCAACCTTTGTTTGAGGTCATGACTAGTAGCGCCATTGAACTTGACTGTATGTCAATTTATGCTCAAGAAAAGCAGAAAGTTTATGAAGAAATACACAATCTGAATGGAAGAATAAGTCTTGTGGCTGACACATGGGTGTCTAATGACAGTGGAAGGTATCTATGCTTGACTGCTTGCTACATCGATGAAAATTGGAAGCTGAAGAAGAAAATTCTGAATTTTATCACACTCAACACTGATGACACAGATGACCTACTTTCAGAAGTCGTTATTAAGTGTTTAACCGACTGGTCCATTGACCGAAAGTTGTTTTCCATGACGTTTGATGAATGCTCAGGCTATGATGATGTGGTCTTTAGAATCAAAGACTGGTTATCTCAGAACAAACCACTTTTAAAGAACGGTGATTTGTTCGATGTCCGTTGTGCATCAAATGTTTTAAAGTCAATGGTTCTTGATGTCTTAGAAGCCCTCCGAGGTCTGATCCACAAGATCCGGGAAAGTATAAGGCATGTCAAAAGCTCACAAATTACTCTTGGAAAATTCAGTGAGATTGCCCGTCAAGTTGGGATTACCACCGAGAGGAATCTGGTTCTTGACTACCCAATGCAATGGCATTCAACATATATGATGCTTGAAACGGCACTGGAGTATAGGTGTGCTTTCTCTGTCCTGCAAGAGAATGATAATGACTACAAAATAAGTCTGTCTGATACTGAGTGGGAATGGTTAAGTTCTCTCACTGGTTACATAAAACTCCTAGTTGAAGTTACTAAAATATTCTCAGCAAACAAACATTTAACTGCAAATGTGTATTTTCCGGAGGTGTGTGATATTCACAAGCAATTAACAGAGTGGTGTAAGAGCTCTGATGAGTTTCTTGGTGATATTGCAAACAAGATGAAAACCAAATTTGACCAGTTTTGGAGTAAGTGCAGCCAATCTTTAGCAATAGCTGCTATTTTGGATCCTCGATTCAAGATGAAGCTGGTTGAGTTTTATTATCCTCAGATTTACGGCAGTGATGCTCCAGATCACATCAAGACATTATCTGAAGCCATAACACAGCTTTTCAATGAGTATGCAATAGGTTCTTCAGCATCACTAGATCAAGACCCTTCTGCTCCTGGTAACTTACCTAGCAGCAGTTCTGTAACTAGAGATAGGCTAAGGGGCTTTGACAAATTTCTACAAGAAACTTCACAACACCTGAGCATGCCTTCAGATTTAGCTAAGTATTTGGAAGAGCCAGTGTTTCCCCGCAATTATGATTTCAACATATTGAATTGGTGGAAAGTTCACACTCCTAGGTACCCTATACTATCTATGATTGCACGTGATGTGTTAGGAATTCCTGCATCCACACTCGGACCAGAATTAGCATTCAGCAATAAAGTTAAGATGCTCGATCAGCATAAGAGTTTGCTTAGCGCAGATGTCCGAGAGGCTTTAGTGTGCGGTCAAGACTGGTTGCGTTTAGAAGCTGAAGGTACTTAGATGCCCTCCCCCCACCCACCATTCCATGGAAAATGTTGTTCTGCTTTTATGCTGTCCTAGACGCATCATTAAGTAAGAGTAACAGTTAGTTAATTTCATGTCTCAGATACCAACCAATCCAGCAGCAACTATGCTTTACCACTGCTCATTGAATCAAGTTAACAGCCGTATGAGTGCATGGGTATGTTCTTGAGGTTTTTATTATTTTGATAATGTTTCTGTATCATTTCTATCATATTCATATCTTCTAACATCTATCTTGTCTCTGTCAAGGTGTTGGCTGAAGGATTCTTGGGCAAGGGTGATTAGTTTGTGTATTCTTTAGATGTTTATGAGCCCTTTGCTCCAATTGCATTGGTTACGACTAGCTGAATGTGTAATTAATATATTTACAGAGTACTAATGTACTACATAAGTATTTGCAGAATCTTCATTTTCATCAATGGAATTTGTTGTTAGTTTTGCATACTAACATTTATTTGTTAGTTTTTTGAGGTTCAAGAATAACATGCTCAAGTAGAAGTCACACAAAATAAAAACAGGAAAATTTAACTAAAAAGTGACACTAATGACTACCCAAACGTAACAATAAAAGCAAAATAAAAACAAAAGAAAAAACATTAAATGTGGGCTGAATTTAAGAATGATTATTTAAGCTGCCGTACAGCAGTCACTGGGAAATGAATAAGTTCATAAAGGTTTAAACAATCTATAAAGTTTATTTGGCTGTGGTTTTGGTGTTCTTGTTTGGTTCGAAGATGTACTTGATAAGGGAGTCCTTGATATGCAGCAACTGAGGGAACTCTTTCTTCAACTTGGATGCATCCAACTCATTGTTACTCCGAGGTGCAATGATCACTTTTGCCTGCTCTTCAAGTGTGAAGTTGACCCAACTAAACTTTGGATCTATGTAGTGTTTGTACAACTCCAGAATCTCATTATGGCTCACGACCCCGGGGTTTGTGAAGTTCCATATGCCCCTCAGGTCACGCTTTGCCATCTCAATGGAGACAGGGAGAAGCTCATCCAGTATGGTCATACTGTTTGGAATGTTCACCACCTTATCATAGTGCGAAATTTTGCCAATAAAGTTTCGCGGGTTCTTGAGGTCCGAAGATATGGGCATGCGAATTCTCAGATTGCATACGTTGTCATATTCTTTTAAGAGCTCCTCAACCTGGTTCAAGAAAGCAGCAAAATCTCATGAACACACATTTATTATGACTGCAACAAAGTTTGAGGGGGGGGGGGGGGGGCACTTGCAATTAGGTGTAGTCTGGTTCTGGACTGTCCGGCCCCGGGCTGCAGTCTGGTCCAGTCCGGTTCAGGTTCTAGTTCCGGTGTTTCAGTCTGTTCAATAAAGAACAGAATCGGAACTTGAACCGGTTTGGTCTGACAAAAAAATCGGACGGTCTCGGCCATAAGGGGGAAAAGATTAACGTAAGAGAGACAAAGTTTACCATGGCCTTTGTCTTGGAATAGAAAGACCCAGTGAAATTAGGTATATCCTCCTCATTGAATCCAATCCCCGAACCCTGTGGGTGAGCTGCATCATACTCAAAAATACAACCAGTGGCGAAGTTTACGAGTAAGAGACCATGCTCTCTGCATACATCAGCTAAGGTCAATACACCAGTAACATTGGCCCGTATGGTTTCAGTCTTGTGTGACTCACACCAATCAATGTTGGGTCTACCGGTGATACCTGCAGCATTGAAGACATGAGTAGGCTTAATGGACCGTAAGTCGGCCAATAGTTGTGACCGATCCTCCAGACGCCCCCTTCCATACTCATAAGCAATCCCATCCTTCTCACACAGTTTCCCAAGCATACCGCCAATCCAACCCGTTCGTCCGTAGATCAAGAACTTATAGGGGGTGTGTTTTTGAACCAATGAGTTGCTGGTTTTCAGATGTGGGACCACCATGTGTTCCGGGTTTGGCTTCTCAGGGAATCCATTAGATTCAGAGCTCTTCAATGGCTGCTCCACTCTGCCGGGCATCATCAGCATCCTGGGATGGGGAACCAATGCACCAGATACATCACCCCACCAATCAGGGTTCTTAGTATACCAATCAACAGTCTTTCTTAAACCATCCTCCCAAGTCATTCTTTCTGACCAACCCAAATTTTTCAACTTCTGATCATCCAAGTAGTATCTCTGATCATTGAATGGCCTGTTCTCCACAAACTTGATTTTTGTTTCCGGATCCAAGTTAAAAAGACCGCATATGTCCCTCGCGACATCGATCACTCTCCTTTCCTTCTTCGTCCCTATGTTGTACACATGGCCAACCTCTCCCCTATGAAGTACAACTTCAAATGCCTCTGCGACGTCTTCACAATATAGATAGCTTCTGACATTTGATCCGTCCCCATGTATAGGGAGAGTTAACCCCTTCATGGCTAAAAGAATGAATTTGGGGATCATTTTCTCGGGGAACTGGTTGGGGCCATATACATTATTCCCACGGGTTGTTATAACAGGTAAACCGTAAGACCGCCCATAAGCCATGACCAACATTTCTGCACCCGCTTTCGTGGCAGAATACGGGTTCGTGGGGAGGAGCTGTGAGGCCTCGTGGTTTCCCACGACCGCATCCTCTTCAGTCTCACCGTACACCTCGTCCGTGCTGACGTGGATAAAGCGTTTGATCTGACCGGCTGCGACTTTGCAGGCCTCCAAGAGCACGTGGGTTCCGTAAATGTTGTTCTTGGTGAACTCGAAGCTGTTGCCGAAAGAGTTATCAACGTGCGTCTGTGCAGCAAAATGCATGATGGTGTCGATGGACTCGGTGACGAGGAGGTGGTTAACCAGGTCGGCACTTCCAATGTCGCCCTTGACGAATTTGAATTTCGGGGATGAGCGGGACGGGAGAAGGTTGTTGAGATTGGAACAGTAGTCTAGTTTGTCAAGAACAACGATCTTGTAACCTGGGTGGTTACGCATGAGTCTGTTTGTAACATGGGATGCAATGAATCCGGCTGCTCCGGTGATAAGGATGTTCTTCGGGGTGTAACTCTCCATCTTAACCAATTGACCTTCTGTTATGGCTCAACATTTTACAAATGTATGTATATATCAGATTCTAGATCGGCAGATATCACATTAGCTTTAAATGCAATTATGAAAACTGAAACTTCTGCATTCAAGATCCTATGGAGTACTTCATGACAAATTTAAAATAAAAAATTGTGTCATTGAGTTCATGCTACATTTCCAGAAAATTTACGCAGAACTACTCGAAAGATATTTTACATTTCCATGTACAATTTCCTTGGTAAAAATGATAGAATCTTTTGAATTGTGGGAAAAGAAAAATGTAGTTACCATTTCATATTCATTATTGAATATGTAAAGATACTTTCCCCTATAAGGCTTTCTAAGATGGAACATTAAGTCTTACTATGGTATGGATTTCATTAAGCTGAAACTGATTCAGATTGGCATGTGAAGTTGTGAACTTCAGAATCGATATTCTCAAATAAAACACATATTCAAATAAAAGTACATGAAATTTAAAGCTCAAATTCTCAGTTACAAATCTGTAAGTTATTCTCTTTTTAACATCACATAAGCAGCAGTTAATAAATTCCAAATGTCAATAATTCATAGAAAGTAAGAATGAGATTTTGCCAGAAAGAAAAAATGGCAGTAAAATAAAGTCTTGATAAACACATTGTACAATAGCTCTCTTGGATAATATAGAATGCTGAGTTGCAGAACAAAAAGACCAGAGAAGATCTAGAAATGCAAAGTATGAATCACTCACATCTTAAGAGGTTAAGAAAGGAGAGCCTTGGAGTGAGGAAATTTGAGCAGAGTGTGTATGGATATTTATACTGCTGTGAGACAAAACATTGTCATTTGGACCAAAATTGTGAAAATAGTTCAACCACCCTATTATATAGAAATCTCAAATTGCCCACTAATAATAAGGTAAGATTGTTAAGAATGGTGACAAGTTTTCATTGTTATGTGTTGAAGTATTTCACGAGGGCGAAATACAAATTATTAAACTCCTTCCATCGTCCCAAAAAATTTGACCAAAATGGAATTGAATGTGCAATAAGAAAGTAAATCTTTTGTGATTGCAGCTTACTAAAAGGACTTCTAAACAAGGAAAGTTAGCAAAGTTATGTCGGAAACAAGGAAAGTTAGCAAAGTTATGTGGGACAAAGAGAAAACTGTATAAGGATCTTGAGTTATCACTTATATTGAATTGACTTTTTAAGATGAAAGTCAATGTCATAAAATGATATGAGTGCGAAACATGTTCCTTATCCATAGTGTGAGACCCTATAAAATTAAAAAAAAAATGACACCATAAATCGATTAAAAGATAAATAACAACACGATCTAGTCAAAGTGTTTTGTCGTGAAGAGGCATTGAAATACTCTTGGCACCGATAAAATATGAACAATTAGACCGGTATTAAGATTCCCTGTATTAAGTTACTGCCCTATCAATTGAATGTTTCACTCATCCTTGAAACATTTTGATCTAGTAACGTCAACAGTTGCTCAATAGGATTGAACTGGTCATTAGTTTTAGAGCCCTCAAGATTATTTGTATAAAAGGTGGTATAGACATTTGCAAATTTACCCACTTTAGCGCAAATTAAAAAAGTTATCAATCCATTTGTATCTATGTTGCACGGAAACGTAAAAATAATGAGAAAGCGGGAACCGGGAAACGTCCATCTTTTGCTCAAAAAACGCTTGATTAGAGAGTTTGCAAAGAGTTTCTGAAACAAAAACGTACTCTTTCCTGGAAGTTTCGTGAAACATAGATGGTATCTTATGAGAATTATAATCAAATTATGGCTACTTAGATTTTAATAATCCCGGTTACGTTAGGTTTTCTATAATTAATTTTAAAGTTAAAAGGACCAGTTTAAGTATGAATACTTTTTGAAAAAAAAAGAACGATTTTTGGAAACTTAACCATATGATTGTTCATAATGAACTGATAATATATGATTGATAGTATTTCCCATTAAATTAAACCATCCCACACTTATTACACTGATCAGGTTGACATTTTCGTAAATCATTTAATCTTGGTAAATTTGAACAAGGTGAAGAGCATATATATGACTTACGTACATAGCACATATAATAAGGTTAAAAGCCTAATTTTAAAAAGTCCGTAGTTAAAACCACTACCTTATATACAACGTTATTTTAGTGGTTTAGTTGAACCACGTGTATGTTAGCTCCATGTAACCTGTTCTACTCCTACCTAAACGTAGTACTGCGTAAAAGACCACACTCCTTTATAGTATTATTATCACCTGTCCTATTAAAAATTCTTCATTTCACTTTGAATGTCCTTTTTTTTGCAGACATTATTTCAATTGTAAAGAGAAGATGCAGTAAAAAGTAAAAACAATGGAAATGAAGAAAACACGAAGATAGCTGCAGACACATTCTTTAAAGACTGCGGTTGAGAGGCAACACACTGCAAAATGCAGCGTTTTCCATCGGAAAAAATGACGTTTGGGGCAAAAACGCTTCTACCCAAACAACCCCACTTTCCTTAAAGACTACGGTTGCACAATTCCTTCAAACAGCCAGAAACAACTTCCATCTTCGGCATCTTCGTTGGCTCCTCATCCAAGCAGGACTTTGTGAGCTCCGTGATCATCCTTGTGGTTTCGTTATCGACCTCTTCGAATGACTCGTGAACCAATCCTTTTTTGCCATTTGAATCCATATCCTCCACGTCGCATTTTAGTTTGTATAGCGTCATCTCAAAGTCGTACTTCTTTTTTGCTATCAGCTCCACTAGTAGAATCCCGAATACATAAACATCAGATTTCATCATCCTCGCACCTCCACAATGAACATCAAAAGCCTCTCTATTAAAATATTTACTCGCGGGAAGTTTAGAATCTTCATCTGTGTGACGAGAAACACAGCCAAATCCAAGCACCTTTATATTCATTTTCTCATCTATCATAATACATGAACCTTCAACTGAGCCAACTGCAATCCTCCTATCATGCAACCATGCCAAGAGATCTGCAAGTTGAGTTGCCACCTTAATCCGATTATGCCACCCAAAGCCATCATCAAGAAGCATGTCACACAAGACAGCTGTGAATTTCTGATCATAGACAGCTGCCTGCCTTTTTCTGTAGCAGTACGTATATAACTTCGCCAAATTTGGATGTTTGCTTACTTCATTGTCTGTGTATAGCTCAATCAGATCACAAAATCTATTTGGCAGGTCATGAAAATGATTTCCACCAAGAAAGGGAAAATCCCACATTTTCACAATCACTTGTCGTTTCTCAAATCCCTTGTCAATGGTTCCTCTAAACAATCGTCCTACACATGCTGTCGAAATCAGGCTATCGGGCACCTCGAAATCAGTTATGCTTTCCAACTCAGAATAGGAGCAAGGTTTCACCCCTCCTATTATCCCTGGATCCATTGAGAAACTGAAGCTTGAATTCAATGAGCATGTTTCATAAAATCTTGATGCTACACGATAATGAAGTATATACTGAGGCTTATACAACTTATCCTTGTTAAAAGATTGAAAATAATATTTCAAACCTTCTCTATTATCTACTGTAGTGAGGACATCCCCGGAGTGTGTCATTTTTACTGGACAGGCGACCCCACGACTGGTTTTTTTACAGATTGATCTGTTTCGGACCTAAAACAACATGTTTTGCACGGAAACTCGAAAATCGTGAGGAAATGAGAAACGTCAAACTTTTCCTCAAAAAAAGCTTGTTTGGAGAGTTTTCAAAGAGTTTCCATAGAGTTTCTGAAAAGCCTACTCTTGCCCAGACCTAAAACTCAAAAGGCAAAACTGAAAAAAATAATTATAAACAAGGACGAGCTAAATGGTTATATTTCTAACATGATTCATAAATCATCATTTTATTTTGTTAATCCTAACAGATTGATCTGTTTCTGAGAAATTAAATCGCTGATCTGATGCCACAGAGAGGGAAAAAATTCAAAGAATCATCTGCACGTCGCTTTCTATGATGGAAAGGCAAACCTATAGTATCAGGAACATTTTTGCTTGAAAGAATTCAAAGGAAGAGAGGATAATTTCTTTTGGGTGATAATAAAGTATGTAATTACTATTAGTACTCTCGGCCGCATAATTTTTATAACATTTTTCATTTTATGATTTCTTAAAATTTTCTTCTCATTTTTTGAAAAGAATATTTGAATTAATGATTGTTTTTGTTTTTCTGTTTCTTTTTGCATCATCCAAAACCTTTGCATTTTGCTTTCAAATGATCGTGTATGATATGCGAAGTTTAATTACAAAGATAATTATGTGACAAATGAAGTTTTTTAATTCTTAACCTTAGATTACAAAGATAATTATGTGACAAAAACCTTAGCATTTTCCTTTCAAATGATCGTGTATGATATGCGAAGTTAAATTACAAACATAATTATGTGACAAATGATTTTTTTAATTCATACAAGTGATGGATGATTGGTTATAATTTTAAATTTATTCATGAAACTCCTAAAAATGTGAATTGTGGGTAGATGAGAAACAACTTCTATTCTATTTATATATAAGTACTAGCAGGTGCACGCGCGTTGCACGAGTATTCATGCCCAACTCACAAAATTTAAGGAAAAAACACGGCACGATACGTACATAACCATAAGGATAACATGACATAGCACATGATGTGCAGAGTGTTTCACTTACCACGGGCTAAACAACCTCTTGAGGATGTGATTTGCAAGTGCCTGTAATCCAGGTGAGTCACATTGAAAAAAAATCATGAAGAGTCTGCCTTAAACAACCAAATATGCCCATGAAAATTTAAAATCTAAAATAATATTACACTTTCTATATCTTTGGGAGTATCAAAACATACCTTGGAATTTTTAGGGTTAATCTCAATAGCCTTAGTAGCATCTTGTATAGTGCTACCATACTCCTCCAATTTAATGTGAGTGGGAGACAGTTAGCCCAATAAACAACATTCTCAAAGTTTAGCTCTATTGGTCGTGTATAGAGATCAATAGCATGCATATACTTATGGGCTAATTCAAAAAATAATAAGCATGAAATTACAGAAGAAAGTATTTCAAAAAAGAAATACCTTAACGTCAATTTTGCGTGTGATTTTGTAGCCTCTCTCACTCTTTGCCTGTATTTATATAGGTATAAATAATCAATATTCCTCTCAGAGTTTTGACATAATAATGTAAACAAACACACATAAAACCAAAATAAGATAATAGGAAGAGTAAAGAATTAGTAAACGAACACTGGAATTGCAATCTCCTTGTGACCGAAGAAGAGCTTTTGGAATCCTTCTCAACCAGGATTTAGATTTTATCAACAGAAGGCGCCTCTCGTCTTGTTTATATATTGCCAAAAGGTAATTGCCAATTAAGTTGAACAATATGATATGCATTTTTTGCGAATCTTTTTCCTTACGTGGTTTTTTCCTTTTCATTTGCTTCATCGTATCTTCAAATCGAATAATATAATGTACGAAAATGTAATATATACAAATGGCTAAATAAAATTTGAGTTATTCATTTGATTCTTAATGAGATCTCGATTCAAATTACCACATCCCAAGTATCACTTTTATGAATTGAAGCATCTGTAGCCATTGTATAGTCCCAGGATCGCATTCCAAGTCCACCACCTAAAAGCAATAAAAGAGTAGCTTAAAAGCAGCAATATATGTGCAAAATAAATAAGTAGGAAAATAGTATTACTGAAATGAACAATGCCATCGCATATGATCACCTCTATCACTCCCTAAACTCAATTCTTGATTGTCTATTCCTCATTTCCTCCTCCATTTTATAAGACTCCAACCTTCAGAAATTTATAAATGAAGAAGTGAAATATAGTAGCTTTCTCCATTCCACCTCCATTTTATAAGACTCCAACCTTCAGAAATTTATAAATGAAGAAGTGAAATATAGTAGCTTTCTCCATTCCACCTGGAGAGTGCAATACTTCTCTTCTGCAGAAGAGATGATCAAGAAGCGGGTGAAATCCCCCTATATGTTAGACACAATATTAATAAAAACCACATTAATAAGTTAGATCTGGTAGTACAATATTAATAATTAATAAAAAACACATACATGACACATTATCGTTAAAAAATAACAACCAGACCCCAAATCCCATCTGGTTTAATACGGAGAGTTGGGAATTTTATCAATTCAGGACCCGAAAGATAGATTAATTATCAATTCAGGATCCGAAAGATGAAACGTAACGATATAGGACCCGAATGATGAAAAACTATCAATTTAGGACCTGAATGATTGGAAACTATCAATCTAGGACCTAAGTTGTCATGAATTTTATTATTATTTTTATTTTAAAATTTTTAAATATTAATTAGTTTTATTAAACTAATAAACTTCTGTGAAGAAAAGTTTATCAAAAATTAGTAATGGATTTAATAAAAAAAATTAAATAAATCAAAACCTATGAAATATTAGGTCCTAAATTGATAGTTTTCCATCATTCGGGTCACATACCGATATGTTTCATCTTTCGGATCCTGAATTGATAATTAATCTATCTTTCGGGTCCTGAATTGATAAAATTCCATTATAATAATATCACTAATAGTAAAAACAGTAACAAATGATATAGGAATACAATCACACATTCACACCCTTCTTCAGATGAAGAGTAAATTTGTAATAGTTCAACAGCTTAACTCTTTGGCTTTTCGAAAGTACGCATTTAGTAAAATTTAGTAATTTACATTGTTAGCTTCAGACCATTTCTTTGAATACTGAAATGTTTTAAAAAAAACTTTACTGAAACCAAATAAATGAAAAAAATATCGAGAAAAAGGTATGTTTTACATTATTTAGAAACCGATGCATTTGAAATTTGGTATATGGTTGCATATCTATTGCCAACCTTTCCACCTCTTTCACCATGATATATGGTTGCATATGCATTGCCATGTTCATGAGATGTTTGATGCCTCATTGTTTAGCGAGTGACAAGAGAATCTAAAAAATCCTACATAACCACACATTCAACAATAAAACTAAACTGATCATTTAAACTTCAGATGCAAAAATGTTCACATAATTTTATTCCGTGAAATATTAAAAAGTTCTGTAATGTGTAGGCTACATGTTTGTTTTTCATGATCTGCTATAAATAATTTAATACCAAAGGTGTTCATGAACCATTAGTGCATATGTAAGTAATTAAGTAATTAACCACTGCAATACATATCATTAAGGCAGTAATGTGCATGTTAGTATAAAGAGACGAAGATTCATTCCCTGTAAGAGAGAAAATTTTGAGTACAATACAGAATATATGGCTCAAGTTCACTTCATGAAGAGGCACAACAGAACAAAGATTCATTCCTTGTAAGAGATCATTCAAGTGAAAAAGAATCAGATATGGATTGAGAGGGCATTGTAGGTTCATTAAATCGTAATGAAGAACCTGATCTTGAAGAGCACTGCTCGGATATGAACTCCTGTGAAGTTGTCCTAGATGAGTCCAGTTATGATGAAATTGTTGCAAAAACATGGTGTAAGAGTCATTTGATGATACAGAATGCGTAAAAGATGAGGCATGTTTAAGTGATGAAGACACAGATTCTCCCATTTCTTGTCCAGGGCCGGATTTCAATATTTGTGATCATCAATGAGACACTCACAGTGGTGATAATGAGAACCCCAAATTCTTCTTTCTTTTTCAGTTTTCTTGTTTCACCCGTCAACAGAAAGGAATACTATAAATATTCTTCTTCTCTCTTCTGTCTTGAAACATCGTCAAGTCACAACAGATACTTTAAATAAATAAGTGAAATGTGAGAGAAAAAGGAATACACGTCATTAAAATATAAAACTTGTTAGAAAAGAAACAAACAGCCCTAAAAAAAGAAATAAACAAAAACAAAAGGGAAAAAAACCAGGCAGGAGAAGATATAAAATAGAAGAAGTAAATGATAGAAAACAAGAAAGGAGACATGAAATTTTAATGAAAAGATAGACATAAAGAAAGAAGAAATAGACCATACATTCAAAGTAAGGAAAAAGAAATATAGAAAATAAGAAAGAATGAAGTAATGAAAAGAACAAGAAGATGAAAACAGAAAGAAGGAAAATAGGCTGAGAAACCTTTCCCAGCCCAGACGTGACAAGCGTACGATTCTGCACCTCTGCCATGCGCCTCTTGCACTTATTACGCTTCATTTACGCCTGAGACGTATCACTGCGCCTAGAGAATATTAAGGCGCTACTTATGTTCAGCGCCCACGCAAGTGCTTTTGATCACATGGAATCCAAGGTTATTATAAGGTGTCCATCAGCACCGAAGAGGTACTGATAATGAAGAAATATATAAGAATTTAGAACATAGAGCATGAATCAACTATTTAGAAGTAAAATGCATTCAAAAGCAAGCCAGAAATATAAACCTTTACTTGCTTTACTTGCTTAAGAACAATTAGATGGCCAACATCAAGAAATGGCAAAACACAAAATCAGAAAACATATTGCAAAAATAGTACTCCCTCCATCCCACTTTGTAAGATACTATTTCAGTCTTGAAGTATTGCAAATAACAATGCCTATTCAAAGTATTTTTAATTAGAAATACACATTATTCAAAAATAACAAACATGAATCAAAATCGAAGTCCCTCAAAAGCATGGGGGGATTTTGAGCAGGCCTGAAATTGTCTGAACAAAAGCACGGTTTTCCTCAGATTTTCCTCAGATAGTTTATCATCATTGGACAAGTAATGGGCAATTGAGATAATATTATGTGTTAGATCAGATTGGAAATCATCATTTCCAGGTAGTTCCATATTAACAACATTGGAAACAGGAGCAAGATAGCAGGAGCAAGATAACAGTGAGCATCATTCAGTTCAGTGTATACTCTCAAAAGGGGATGAGCAACGCCATCGGTTACCGCCTTATTACAGGTAGCCACCGGGGCTCATCCCGGGTTACTATAACATCAGTGTCATGGACTGTAGGGGCCTGGGTCTCCCGAAATTCGTCACCAACATTAATAAGAGTAGTCAGTTCCTTAGCACAATCTAAAAAAGAATTCTCAACAGTAGGGGCAGCACTGGTATGGTTACCAGTGACACCATCATCTACATTAGGGCCATAAAAATAAGCATCAACAGAAATGTCCCAATTTGGGTGAGCAACAGGGTCACTGTTTGCACCATCTGCAATAGGGGCATGAATTGGGGGTGCAACAGGGGCACTGTTTGCACAATCTGTAAGTGCAACATTACAGGTAACCGGATAAGCAACTGTTAGTGCAAAATCAAACAGGGGAGGGGGACTTTCTATAACAAGTATAGGGGCATGAAATGAAACAACCGGTGTATCAAAGGCAGCTACAACCTGATTAGGGACACGAAATGATACAACCGGTGTATCAAAGGCAGCTACAACTTGATTAGGAACACTGTCTGTAACTGCAACATCAATGTTGGGAGGGGTGGAACAATCCAAAACACCATTTTTTTCCGTGCTACCATCATCAAATACAGCAACATCATCTCCATTAGTTGGAGCATCTACAGGGACAAATACATCTTCATACGAAACACAATTAACCTCGACCAATTGTAGCATAATTGGTTTCAGTTCCAGAATAATTGAAGCCCGGGGACATTTTGTGTTCAGATGATTAAACCTAGAACATATATTTAAGAAAGCATGAAGATTTTCATATATTAAGGACTGGAAAGAGGGTTGTCTTGGTCCCAACTATGTTGGAAGAACATATTGCGAGGGTGGACGGGAAAGAGGGCTATCTTGCTCTTTGTAAATTGAATTTTCAAATATGGATAATTTGACTGTTGTGACAACTTTTCCAGAGAACATATGCATAAGGTTAAGAAATAAGTAGAAAAGCCTTTAACAATTTGTTGCAGAACTGACATGTAAACCTTAACTCCTACTCATCACAAGACCCACACATACACTTTTATAGTGCTTTTTAGATGTTTACCGTACTCCAACATTTTCTTATGCCTAATTCATATTGAAAGACATTCACAATTCAGATCATAAAATTCATGTTGATGCTCTTCTAGAAGGGGGCAGAATTTTTCTTATAGGAACATCATTAACATAAATTAAGGAGATGCCAAAACTCCAAATCCATCATAATTCCAGCAAAGTTAACTCACCAGTTAATAATGTTCCACTAAAAAGTTGATCTTCCAATATTTGTTTCTCTATCAATGTCATTTCAGAACATGTACAAGGAGCTCTCTTGCTTACACGAGATATAATGAAAAAACAGAAGAAGGGAATGTAATCAGAGATGAAAAAACACCATCACCTTTTATAGATATCTCCTTGTATAGATATAATGAAAAAGAGGAAGGGAAGATGTTCATGACCTGGGCCAAGTGGCGGAAGGCGGCGGTAGCGGCAAATTGAGTAAACTCTGAGTTCTGATTTATGAAGTTAGGAGATGGGGCAATGTTTCTGGCGTGTTTCGACAAAGAATCGAAAATGGAGTTACATCAGAGATGAGCCATATTTGGAGGAAGGGGTATGAATCGCAATTACAGAGCGATTGCGGGAAGATGGGCGAAAGGGGGTCTAGAGGAAGAGCAGTGACCAGAAGGTATGGTTCGGCTGATCTACGCCAGACCAAAGTCTTAAGGTCAAGCTTTCGGCGTCCTGGTTTAGAGGAGCACGGAGATGCCGAAAATTACCAGGCAATTTCAGGTTTAGATGTGGAGCTTGAAACACAGATGAGGGTATGAGAGGGGTTGAGATGTCGGATGTTGAGCGATGAGCTAAATGAATGGCCGGTATGTAACCGCGTCCAGTAAAACGGAAGTCGTCAAAGGAGCTAATAAGTCGGCACTGTAGTTAACGGGCGTTGACTCACTTAACTTCCTTCCACCTTTTATATATATAGTAGATAAGAAAAGAAATAGCTCATCAAAGTACAATTTTACCCTTACTAAAGTTACGTGTCTCCCTTTCCAAGTTTCTGTCCTTTCACACATTCATGCCACGTGGCTTGCTAATTGTTAAGTGTGCTGCTCACCGCTTTTAAAACGCTCCATCTGTTTCCATCTTCTGCGCATTCATCTTGAACAACGATTTTAACGTTGTTTTCACAAGAAAAAAACGGTGCCCCGCTCTTTCCACGTTTTCCTTCTCCGTATTAGCAAATTTCAGCCTTACTTTTCTCATCTTCCCTCCGATTTTACCACACCCAGCTCTTCACCAAACTATGAGACCTCTAAACTATAATCTAATTGAACATATGTATGTCACTAATTTTTCTGGCTGAGATAATCTAATGTGTTTTTTACGATATTGATCGGAAAAACGTGATAAAAGAGTTGTACTGTTTGTTTCTTTCTTTCTGGGTGTAGTTTTCAACCACATCAACCCAACTTTGCAAGAACAAATTCTTGGGTGCCCAAGTAGCAGAGGTACTCTCTAATTCTTTCTGCATTCATTATATTGTGCACATATGTTAATTGATTAAATGTTTACATAAGTGATCTAAATGAACATCTGTATATCACTAATTTTTCTGTCTGAGTTAATCTAATCAATAATTTGTGTTGTTACTGCCTATTTTGTTTGAACTGATTGTTTGTTTCAAGATTTTACTACCTATTTAGCTCACTAATATTTGTTTCAATATATATATATATATGTATATATATTTAGAATATATATATATATATTTAGAATAAAGATCAAATGATAACAATGCTTAACGTGAGAACGTGAGAACATCACATTTACCTCAACGTGATGCACAATAAGGCTCGCCCAATGCACTATTTCATGTTAAGCATATAATTTACTAAAATGCCACCGTGATTATTTATATAAGCTTGATTCAAGAAAAGAGAAAATGTGCACCTGACGGGCTCTATTGTGCATCACATTGTGTAAAATGTGAGTGTTCTCACGTTCTCACGTTAAGCACCGTTCTCACTGGAACCGCACCCTATATATATATATATATATATATATATAGGGTAAGGTTCAAGTGAGAAGAACCCTTTAGGTGAGAAATGAGAATGAATCTTAGCCATTGGATTCGACTAAGTTACAGTAAAAGACACTTCATGATGCACTGAAATATGCAATCTTGCACGGTGGCATTTCTGTAAATACTTCTGAAAAATTCGTATTAGACTTGTCTAGTGCAACATGAAGCTATTTCGGTGCAACGCCGTCAAATATTAGTGCAACATGAAACAATGTTAGTGCAACATTGCAAAATTTAAATATTACTGCAACATAAAGCCATTTGTAGTGCAACTTCTTAAATCTAATGGTTGAGATTCATTCTCATTTCTCACATTAGATGCATTTCTCAATTGAACCAATATATATATAGGGATTGGTTCAAGTAAAAAGTAGTCTTCCCATGAAAAGTGAGAACAAATCTTGGCCTTCCATCGCTTGAAAATGGATGGATTAGATGAACTTTAAACAAAAGATATGATTTCAAAAAATGTGCAAACGTTTATACTATAAAGTGGATAGTTACTCATTAAATGTGCACTCATGCGTGTCAAAAAAGATTGTAAAATTTTCCAGCTTGTGCACTTTTTATTTTGTACCGTATTGCACTTTTGTGCTCTACGTGTGCACTTTTGGACTATGCTGATGCACATTTGTTATAATATTTTCAATAAAAGTTCTCCGTAATTACAAATATGCCACCGCGTTTCCTACCTCAAAATTGTTCTATGTATATATATAGAAAATATTTAGGAAACGCGGTGGCATATTTGTAATTACGGAGAACTTATATTGAAAATATCATAACAAATATGCATCAGCATAGTCAAAAAGTGCACACGTAGAGCACAAAAGTGTAATACGGTACAAAATAAAAAGTGCACAAGCTGGAAAATTTTTACAATTTTTTTTGACACGCATGAGTGCACATTTAATGAGTAACTATCCACTTTATAGTAAACGTTTGCACATTTTTTGAAATCATCTCTTTTGTTTAAAGTTCATCTAATCCATCCATTTTCAAGTGATGGAAGGCCAAGATTTGTTCTCACTTTTCATGGGAAGACTACTTTTTACTTGAACCAATCCCCAATTCCCTATATATATATATATATATATATATATATATATATATATATATATATATGGAGCAGTTCTAACGAGAACACTCTTTATTGTGAGAAATAAGAACAAATCTAAACCATAGATCTTGATAAATCAAAGGCCATTAAAAGAGTAGGTGCAAGGTTTGTACGTGGGAGTGCAACCACTTAAAAAATAACCATGCACTCTCTATTCAACCGTAGCTTAGATAGAGGACACCATAGTAATTTTAAAAAAAAATCATAATGTTGTCATCTCCCTAAAAAGTAGCTAATAATAAAACTCAAATCATGTAAAATTTCTTTAGTTTAAAAACTGATTTAACTTTTTAATTTATGGTCTGACATCAATATCACCTATATAATTTTTAAAAAATAAAATATGTATAAGATGTATACAATAAAGCACACCAAACATCTATAGCTATCGTATACACAAGAGCATATATCTAAGGCACAATCACCAATATCTAATGCATATGAACATGCCTCGTACTAAATAATAGCTACCAAAAAGTTCAGCAAAAAAAGTGAAACCTTTCATATACGGAGTATAATACATATATATGAACTGATATTTAATGCACAAGAGAGTATACAAATTATACATGTATATAATGCACAAGAACCACTATCCAACACACAACACATATAACAATATCATAAGCACAAAACCCAACATCTAATGCACAACCATTAAAACTTATGAATATCTTACGGAATAACATTTAAGGGCTTTATAAAACATAAATTAGTATATAACACACATGAATCGGTATCTAACACACATTACACGTATAGGCCAAAATTCAATACCGAACATATATGTATACAATAAATCACTACATTTCTAACTACCGCACAAGAACTTGTATTTTACGCACATGACTAATATTCTTACGAAAGTTCAATATTTGTCACTTTGAATGATTAATATTTAACGCACTCAGATTACAACATTATTAAAAATGGAGATATGTCTCACGTTGAACATGGAGAAATAATGGAATGTAATTATTTCATTCCTAAAATAACTCCACATTAATCATTCATGGTAGTTAACAAAAAAACTACCCAAGAGTATAATACAAATTAAAATTGCCCTTATAATTTTAATCAATACTTACGTGAGATGCATCCAAATGAAGGGTTGTTATATGTTCTCGCGTTCTCACGTTAAGGCTCGTTCTCATTTGAACCAATATGTGTGTGTGTGTAAGTGAATCTATTATGCTACATAAGTACATATATTGAAGCCCAATCAATTCTACATTAGCCAATCAGTAGGACTCATCGTCCGGGCAAGCCCGTTTGAGGGGTTTCCGGATCAAATTTTTGATGAGATTTTTTGAACATGTTATTCATTAAGTTTAGATTGTCTCTACAAAATTTTAGTTTAAATTTAATCGGAAAGTCAGTTAAATAAATTATTTATACATAATGTGCATTATATATATAAATCAAACGCAACATGTTTCAACAAATTGTTTAATCGGCTACTCGATTGCATGCATTTTAAGCTCAAATTTTGTGGAAATAATGTAGACTTGGTGAAGAACATGCTCAAAAAATTTCATTAAAAAAATCCATTGGAAATGTCCCCAAATGGCCCTGGCCGGACGCTGGATCCTGTAAGGCCGTCTTGACAAAATCATTTCTCATTTCTTTAAATAGGAGCGTCGTTATTTTCTTTTATAAAATACTTAGAATGACATTCACTCTTTTACATTTTGGAATGTTTTTATTGTTTTTATTCTTTTGCTAGAGCTGTTTGGACTTTGTTTATCTTTTACTCATATTTAATTTAAGCAATTTAATTTTTATGTATCCATTTTGAGGTTTTAGTAATATACTTTATGTGAAATTTTCACAGAAGATTATGAGTGGAGAGGAGCACATTCAAATCTTATCATGGAATGTACGTAGTATACCCTCACAATTATACTTGATTTCAATATTTAGAGGAAAATTATTGATAATAGTGTAAATGATGATAGCCATACTTGTGTCTTATTTTTTTTTGAGTTGTTTCAAAATAAGTGTCACATTTTGTTTGAACAGAAATATGTGGTTTACAATATTTCCTTTTACAATGCACAAGTCTATTTTCCAACTATTTTATTAATAAATGTGTCAAATCAAAAGAACACACAAAATAGGACGGGTAGTACTATTTGTTGTGACCATTTCTCTTACTTCCTCTAAAAATGATGCTATAAATTAAGGGTCAAATTTCATGGTAATTCATATTTTTAATTATTTTCCCACTGCAGTTCGTTGAATATACCATTTTCATTTCTTGAATATACTACGTATTAAACTTTCAGGGACTTTTTTTTATTTGATGTTCTCATCTATTTGAAAATGAAAATAAATGAAAATAAGATCATTGAAGTGTAATTTTAGATCCGATTAATTTAAACTTTAATGCCATTATTAATTATAAGATCAACCTCTATATCGGTTTTGAACGCAAAAGCAAGCATGAGGAAATGAGAGCAATTTAGGATAGTCGACACTAACAACATATTGGAGACTGGAGAGTACACACTCTTCGGTGATCTCAATCTAGATTGTGCTCTTCACAATGATACGGTGTCATCAATTCAAGGCCCTACTGTAGCTTCACTTATCCACCTCCCCCTGCTTCTCAACCTTTGATGATACTCCCTCTGATCTTCATTAATAATCCTCTTAGGTTTTGA